TGAATTACATCGCTAATGTCATAGAATAGCACGGCAGGGCACATTGTAACGCAGTGTTACAACGTGCCCCATCTGCGCAACTGGAATTTAACCGGTTACTGTTTTTCTGATAGTTAGCGAAGCATTAAAAAATTATCTAAACTGATAAATAACAGATTGGCGATTAAAATAATAGCAGATTTGTCTCATTTTAAATGAGTAATAAAAACTGAGATGAAAAATTTACTTAAGCCAGAAATATAATTTTTCTATAGTAAAATAAATGTTCAGCGATATCTTCAAAACACTTGAATTTTGGTGCACTTTTTTTCTCTATATAATGTTGATATGGTAACTAGTAAATGCTGTAAATTTGGTTATGCTAGCATGTGTGGAAATATTTAAACCACGTGTGTTACAACTTACCCAGCGTTACTTTGTGCCCCGCGCTCCCCTACTAAAAGCTCAACCGTGTTTCTATATGACTGTGAATGTACGTGTCCTATTATGGTGGTAAGTACTTTGTCTACATTATAACATCTGGCTACATTATAACACTGCAACAATATATTATACTAAAATCACCTGTTTTATAGATATATGATTTAGATACAATTGTAGCTTTCTCATCCAGTTCTTTTTATTCCTTTACTGTTCGTTGTACATCCTTGGTTTTTTGCTTGGGGACTCTCTGAGCTTCTAGCCATCCATCAAAGCATGTATGCTCACGATGTAGGCCTATACTAAAATTAATACAGGCTATTTTTATTCACGCGACAAACGTAGCGAGCCTTTCGATTCGCACGGTGGCGCCAAGAATCGAGCCAGTGCGCGGAATGATACACGAGAGAAACGCCGGTATGTTCCCGACGGCAACGGCGAAATATATAAGAAATATATAATTTCGGTTATTATACAAAAATTGATTGCTCACGATTAGCCATTCAGAATTAAGCACTCCAGAGAACCGTGTAATAAAGTAGGCTATAGTACACAGGGATGATAGTTAAGTGTCAAATTATGCAAAATGGTTGGATTGGATAAAAAGTTAAATAGGTCGATGTCAAAAATGCATAATTGCTGTAATTAATCGAGGATCAAGGTTGGCGAGCTATCTATGTGATATTCTTTGTCTAATTATGGGATTACTCAACACTCTTCTGGTTCTGGGGTTGTTAAATTAATAAATTCATTAAGACGATTAAATAACGTTTGTAAACGAGTGCATGCATTTCATATTTCTTTATACATGCATTAATAAAATATCAAACACCTACATCCAAAATGACAGAGATGCCCCTTCGAGGCTCCGGTGCAAAGAACTGCTCCTGAGCCACCGCCGCCTCCTCCTTCACATATTCCCGAGTAGAGATGCTTTTATTGTCGCTCATCTTGGTGACTATCCAGCGGACGAGCCCGTCTATTCCACCGGGCTGAGTGCCGCTGTTTCCGGACTGTGCAGCCGTCGCTGTCTCGCTGTCCTGAGCCCCGGGATTGGGCTGGTCTTTGCTGTCCTGTGCCCGGAGTTTGGCTTGTTCTTTGTGGAGCAGTTTGTGGACGCCGTCCCTGCAGTAGCGCGCTGCTTGTTCACACATCCTTTTGCCGCGGAGCGTTCATGCTGCGCTCTATGGGGGCGATCCCTCCTCCTCAATGACATCAGCAGCAGCAAATCCCAAAAACTCACCCCTCCTGTCACACCTAATTGGAGCAGTTCAATAAATGCCATCCATTTAGCTCAGACGCAGAAAAATTAACTAGAAAAGCATTATTTGCACTTTAGAGAGAGAGTAGCTAATAAAGTAGGAACCAATGTTAATGCCCATTGATCCCAGACAACTTTTGAATAAACTATTCTAATGTTGTTTAGGTCTATTTTTGGTTTTCTACAGTAACTCTCAGTCGTAGTTATTTAGATCTACCATTCGTGGACATCCCTTTTCGAAAATGAATGGTTTTATTATAGTAAAAGTGTACTTTGCTATGTTCTTTGGAAGATTGATTACCATTTGTATAACCATACTTTACAAATACCATGGTTGGTTAGTGTAGCAAAACTATGGTTAATTTGTGGTTACCAGGTTTAACTATATTAACTATGAAATTAAAACTACATTCTAACATTCTACATTCTGTACATTCTAACTGTAGTAACTAGACAATAAAACTCCCAATAACATCCATTTATACAAATATCCCACAAAAAAACTAGCTATAGTTCTATAGCCTATATAGATGCACAATTACAATAATTAATGTATCAGCGGCTGATACATTTTACTATAGGTTATTTCATTGTGCATCTATACAGAACTATAGCTATATATAAGATATAGGCCTAGATAATCAGCCATATGCTATCTGTTGCGGTTCAATTCAGTGCAAACTATAACCGACACAGTTAAATGTCAGTTCGACTTAAAAACATTTGTGATGGTTAAATCTTTATTAAAGTGATACATATATGACTGCATTTGTCATGCTTTATCAACATAGCGGCCGAATTGCAGTGGAAATGCGACTTCTGCTTGCTTCTATTTGGTGACAGGTAGAAATACACGCTACTATTACTCAAAAAACTTGTATGAAAAACAAAACATCTTTTATTAAGACCCCCTAACCTTTTGTTTTGACTTTTTGGAAGAGTTCAAGCCTTAAGTCTGACCTCCCTAAACCCACTCATGTTGATGGAGCATCTCAACTGTTGTTTGATCAACATTCGGAATTTGTATCACGTCAGAAAAGAACAGCAGCTTGACAATTTTTGGGGTGGGTACTCCTTCACTTAGAAAATCCCTCATTACCTTACTGTCTCTATAACGGTCTGAAATGACCTTTGTGAGTTGAAAGACTGCTGAAAGGCTCCCCGGTCCTGCCCTTTACGAGGGGTGATTAAGTCATCCCAACTAAAAGGGCCTTTATTTAATTGGCACCAAGTACAACCCCCCTACAGTTTGCGTTCCTATAGTGAGGCATTTAAGCAAACAGAAAAAAAGTGATTGGATGCATCTCTTTAATGTAGGGCAACTCACAGCAACCTGTTACTCCTTCTTCACCACAGAGGGTGCTCAAATAATTACAACAAGCAGTAATCCCTTGTCTTTGGACATGCTCAGCCAGTTTGTGCGTAGCACTGACAGGCCTCTCTTTTCAGCACGTAAACAAACTCGGTGGTATATCATGGAATGAGCAGGGGATAAAATGAAACTACTGAACGGTTATTCTGGATCCTGTGCATCTGAGGTTGGATACACAGACAGACTGTCACTGTGTATACTTAAAGCTCTAAGCTAATTGTTTTATACATTTATATATATTGCTTAGGTGACTATAAATATAAAAAGAAACTATATTTTAAACTATATTTTAAAATATTTAAAATTTATAATACTATACTGTATATAAAGCAGGTAGAATAAAATAAAATAATTAAAATATATATTCATTTCAATTAACACATTTTTTCAATAGTTTTAGTTCGCAATAACAACAAGAGTAACATCTAATATCAACCTGTCCCTGCATTCATTCACCCACCCACTTTGTCTATTTGAGATTTGAATATATGCAAAAAGCATGCAGGAAGGCTTGGCAGGGAAAATGAGAGATTTCACACACATTCATACTGCAAATGAGTATGAAACAACGCTGGCAACACATATACACAAATACACACACACACAATCAAATATCCCTCTAGGTTATGAACCTAGAGGGAATGTCATGCCTAAGTAGACGGGAGGTGACCGTGATTTCACCAAGTACAACATGTTCCTGGATCAACATCCTTGTTGATCCTGGAACAATATTCCAATTAACCAATCAGAATTGAGGGATAACTTTTCAGGAAATATCTGTTTTAGGCTTACGATCAGGGTTAGGTGCTTCTACACCCTTGTTAATCAGCTATCATTTCACACTGATTTTAGGAATAAATTATGGGTAGGGTTAGGTTTAGGGGTAGGGATTGGGTTTAGTCTATATTTTTGGACAGTAATGTTGATCCAGGATCACTTCTTGGCAAAATCACGGCGACTGTAGATGGGACATGTTAAAGGTGATGTAGGAGCAACAAGTGCACCTCCTGGTGGACTAAAAAAAGAGCACCCAGGAGCAAAAGCAGTTAACTTGTTAATTGACTGGTATAATTCAAACTGCAAACTTGAGTGCTGCAGAAATTTTAATTTTTTCTGTTCATTTTCAGTATTTACAATCAATTTGCATTCTGTTCAAAATAGCATATTTCTTAAAACTGAAAGAAAAATAAATGACATTTTTTTTTAATTAAGTACTTAACTGCCCAAAAATCTTACTGTATTTAAAAAAGCAAAACAATATTCAATTCAATTTTATCTGTTTTTAACCACTACCATGAATTATTTTATCCAAAGAACAGCATGGTTCTTTCTTCATGATGTTCTTTTCTCTGAAGGAAGCTCTGGACAGTAACCTTTCAAGTAGTAAACCCAGAAGATGCCCTGTCCATGCCCCTCCATACGTGGACAAGAAATTGTCAGCTTTCCATGACATGGGCCTCTGGAGCCCGTTGGAGGGCTGTCAAATATAACCTGTATGTGCTGCGTTTTTTGAGGTAAAATAGTCTCAGCACCCTTGACAGTGAAGGCAGGGTTGTCCACCTGGAAGGAGAAGGTGGTGGCCTGTTGAAAGATATTTTTAAAGGAAATCGAGACACTGGAACCTGAGCTGATGATGAGGGGACCCTGAGCTTTAGGTGGGGTGCAGGTGCCATACAGAGGGAAGACATACTCCCCTCCAAAGTCTGAGGAGATGGTGAGCAGGCTTTGGATGTCTCCCACCTGGCAAGGTTCGAAATGCACCGTCACACTGATATCTGTGCCAGTTTGGTTCCCCGCTGCTGCTTTAACATTCTTTTCCACAGTGAAGTTTGGGTTGTCCGTCTGAATTAGAAACAAGATTTGAATGGAATGTTTATACCAAAGACATTAGAATTTAAGCTGGTAATGTCATTTCAAACCATGACTTTCTTTCTTTGTGTGAAGAAAAAAAAATAGGATAATTAAAAAAAAAAAAAAAAAAATTTCAATACAGTGAAATTAATGCGGTTCAATGTTATTTTAGACAAAAACAATTGAAACATTCATGTCTTTTATCACAAAGATAAAGTTGGCTAGGTAATAATGGGAAAATAGGGCTCCTACCTTGCATATATATTCGGTCTTGACACGAGAAAAGTTGGTGAACTTAGCTATGAAACTGTGTTTGCTGCCAAGTGGTGCTCTGAAATATAGAGGCTTCTCAAAGGGTGCAGGCAGGGCCTTCAGTTGAAGCTCATAAAAGAAGTGTCCGAGTTCAGTAGCGTACATCACCAGCCGGGCTGTGGACTCTCCCTCACACAGAGGCTGATATTCAAATGTCAATGTAACCTAAGCAATAACAAAAACAATGCTCTTAAAAAAAAACAAGAGTCATTAAATACCAGGGTCACCACAGAAAAACCTCTTTGTTTTTTTTCTTCATTTGCATTGATAGACAATTTATTTCCTTTTCATTTTTAAATCATTTTAAAGGGATAGTCCACCCAAAAATGAAATTTCTGTAATCATTTACTCACCATCATGTCAGCCAAACCTTTATGACTTATCTGAAGAATGTTGTAACTAAACAGTTTCAGTTCCCACTGACGTCCATGATAAAAAATAACGGAAGTCAAATATGAACCAAAACATCAACATTTTTCAAAATACCTTCTTTGGTGTTCAGCAAAAGAGAAAAATGTTTAGAAGAACATGAGCGTGAGTAAATAATGGCAGAATTTTAATTTTTGTGGTGGACTAACCCTTTAAAACACTATGGAGCCCCACACATGACAAGCAGAAAAAATACAATTCTTAATTCTATTTTTTTGGATCCATAAATGATGCTCGGAAACTGATTATTTTACTACTTAGAGCTAGATTTATTAACAGTTTGCACCAGTGTAAAGTAAACCCTTTTGTTGGCATTAAAAAAAATTACTGTCAGAATTTACTAAAGACACGTAGCAAAAAATAGCAATGAAAAGGCATAGAGAAAGTTATTCTGTGGCTGACCTTATTGCATATGCATTTGTAGGAGTTTTTCTTTCAGACAAAATTTACGGGAGTATTTAAACAAATCATGCAACGTGATTTACTAAAGTTTGCAGTAGTCACTTTACTGGTATTTTCACCATTATTTAATGCCCAAAGCAGCATGTTTTAACCCATTTTGCACCTGAGTTCATTTGCCGCACCTGATCAGTCAGTAGATCACCCACAGAACTTTCCACTCCCTTCCGCGCCTATATGTGATTGCGGTCTCAAGATAATTTGCTCATGCTAATATATATCAACAGCTCTGTGTTTTTGAAAGTACATCTACCTTAGACTGAGCAGGCACCAGGAACTGTGGAGGAACGCAGATGTCTGCATTCTGGCACTCTGCAGAGAACGACACATCCACAAGAAGTGGGTTCTCCACCTCCACAGACCCTGACGTCATCTGCCTCACCCGGGTCGCCATTTCTATAGTGCTGATCACTCCTGGAGCCATTGCTTTGAAGTTGAGATTATAGAAGAGGTACTCGCCCGTTTTCTCGTTCTTGAAAGTCACCTGTGTAAGTAAGAAATATGATGATGTTTTATGGGCCATAAATTAGTTTTATAACCAAAGTAGTCTGTATTAGCACATTTTTATGGGTGCATGATGGCACTTGCTTTAGCATTGTACTGGCCCTCTTTATAAGTAAAGAAGGAGAGTGTGTAATTCTTCGTATCCAGTGCAGGCACATCAATGTATTCCGGGCCCTTCAGGGAAACAATGCCATCTGAACGATCTGGTTTGATGAGCTCCATCACAGCACGCAACCTACACAGCAGGATATAAAACACTGAATGATAAAACATAAATTATACTAAGAAGCAGAATATAATTTGCAACTGAGGCTTTATGTCAATGAAAGATTTTACGATCATTACAACGCATATCCCAAGAGGCACTGTATGTGTGGCTTTTTTATGGGCATTTTCATGATTAACAATGTTTATGCATGTGCAATAACCATATGTTTATGGGTAATGAATCAAGATTATAACAAAAAATGTTTATTAAACAGGATAATAGTGCATTTTGCATGTTGCGTCAAAAAATATAATTTCTTTTAGTGAATTCTAGCATCATTATCTGTTGATTTTGCAGTCTTTCCAATAAATTTTAATTGACTGAAAAATAGTGTTTTGTTTTTAAACAAAATGCCTATCAGAAAAATGCCCTATTTCATGACTGTGAAATATTGTATTGTGATTATTACATTTGCATTTATATGTTTCTTGTAGATGAGGTACCTCTGAGGTCTGGGCAGCCAGTTGTGGACAGATACTGTCTGTGTGTGGTGGCTTTTGCATTTGATCTCTTCAGTTATTGTGCCTTCAGCCTTCGGTGGCTCAGATGTGCCATGCAATATGTACAGTATTCCACTGCCATCAGGAAAAGAGAAGAAAACGGAGCCCTGCACCACAGCAAAGGGAGGTGTCATTAACAGTGGAATTTTTTTTTTTATTGTACTGACCATTATTGTACCATTTTTTATAATGGCTATTTGCACCCTTGTTTTATTGTGACTGAACAATTGTTTCAAAAATAATTACTTGAAATAGTCCTCATCTTGTGGAGAGAGTGTCATACCTCATGCCTTTCCCCGTCTGCAGTCATGACCAGTGGCTTGTATGTGATCTCATAGGTGTTCTGCTGCAGGGGCTCAATGAGGAGAGTGGGCAGCCCGCTCCAGTGCTCTCCCTCTATGACACATATCAGAGTCCAGGGCTGGTTAATGCGGTTGGGTAGAGCCAGAGACTGAGTACACTGACTGCGCACCTGACACACGAAATTCACCACCTGCTCACACAAAAGAGAAAGCAAGCAAGAAAAAGACAGTGATACAGTGAATTAGCCTTGCTTTTTACCTTCAGCATTTCATCAGCACATCTAATATTAGCAAACATACAAGGTTTCAGTACTCACTAAATGAAATTCTGACACGCTGTTAACATTCAGACTTGTGTTTTTTTCTGTCTCTGCAACACCTTACCTCTGTTGCAACTGTAGGGACAATGCAGGAGCCAGTGAGGGTGAGTTTTAATGGTTTGCCCCCCTCTATAGTACAGCAGAGATCATCATAGCGCAGATCTTGACTCAGCTCGGTAGGGGCAAAGGTCACTTCAAGGGATACTTCCATTCCTGGAGTGATGTAGCCCTCAGCAGGGAAAATGATGAAATCTGGAGCAAAACTCTTTACATCCCATTTGAATCTGAAGAGAACAAGGAAAAGCCATGTAATAGCATTGTCACTCAGATTCATTCATTTACAAAACCAGCCACACATTTTAGATGCAACCAGTCACTGAATTTTAAGGTTTTGCGATGTGTACCTTGCACCAATGTCTCCTGTGTTCTGCATTATAATGCGACGGGTGGCTTGGCAGCGCTGGACCACAACTCCAAACTGCAGGTAGTCTGTGTCCAGTCTGACCTCCACTCCCTGACAACATCCCTTCATGACCAGCAGGGGGCGAACAGCACCTAAATACTCCAGCAGCAGCTCCTCAGTGAAAGGAGGCATGCGCTGTTCAGGAGAAAAGAGAAGCTCCACCACACAGCGGCCACCCCCCTCTTTTAGTGTCACCTCCCCTTCTGGACGCACTGACAAGATCTGTAAAAGCACAATGATTTTTGTAATGTAATGTACGCAGTGCAGTGGAATGTATGCATTTATTCACTCACTACATTTAGGTCCAAATTTCTATTTCAAACAAATGCTGTTCTTTTGAACTTTGTATTCCCCAAAGAATCATTAAAAAAATGCAACATTGATAATAAGAAATATTTCTTGATTACCAAATCAGCACATTAGAATGATTTCTGAAGGATCATGTGACACTGAAGGCTGGAGTAATGGCTGCTGAAAATTCAGCTTTGCCCAGGACAGGAATAAATGACATTTTAAAATATATTCAAATAGGAAACAGTTGGTCTAAATTGTAATAATATTTCACAATATTACTGTTTTTATTTAATTTTTAATCAAATAAATACAGCCTTAGTGAGAAAAAGAGACTTCTTTCAAAAACTTTTAAAAAATTACTTATAAGAGAGAGAGCAAGTGTACATGTGTTACCATAGAGTCCTGAAGAAGGTTATCAGAGTGTCTGCGAAGACTAAAAGTCAGGGAAGCGTGGCTGTTGTTCACCAGAGGGATCAATTTCCGACTTTGCTGGCCAGCCTGCAGAGCTCCAAAATTAACCACCTTATGAGCTGAGTCCTCCAAATTAATCTAAGACAAAAACAGGGGAGGATGAATATCTATTACACCAGGACGTAGACATGTAGGATTACTCAAAACTCAAAACTTTGTCACCTTCATCTCAACGCCCTGTCCCAGGATCTCCACCACTTGTTTGGCACACATGTTCATCTCAAAAACCACCTTCTCACGGTAACAAATTGCTTTGCGTGGGTAGAATGAGAAGAGAACCTCCACGGAGCCACCAGGAGAAAGGACTTGAGGGGTGAAGCTGACCTCCAAGACAGGTGTGTTGGAGAACAAGCAGTCTAGACTGAATAAATACCATCGTATTATAAAACAAACCATGAAACTTTGCTTTACACAAAGTTGCAAAGTAAAATGCAAATATACAGGTGCATCTCAATAAATTAGAATGTTGTGGAAAAGTTCATTTATTTCAGTAATTCAACTCAAGTCTTCTAAAGTTTTTTTTTTACCTGATTCCTCTGCTGCTTCTGTTACTAATCACCAGTATGTGTGTAACAGGTACCATACCAACACAATATATGAAATGCCTTCCAAAGTTGTGCTTTAGGAAAGAAAATTCCAGATCTGGAGCCACAGCTGAGCCCTTTAGTGCACAACAGAATATCGGCCCATTCTTTACCTACAAACAGTGGAAAGAAAAAAATTGAATGCAGAAAAAGAAAAATGATGTAAATAATATTTTGTTCAAAAAGAAGGATAAAAAGGACATAAAGTAATGGACAGGGTCTACCTTAACAGAAAAAGTCAGATCTTTGAGCACACATCTCCGCTGAGGGCAAAAGGTCAAGATGCAGGAACTCTGTCCACCTACAGCCACTGTGTCCAATTTAGGTTCCACCTGCAGGTGGGGCTGCAGCACTGTCGGCCCAGACAGGTCATACTCAACATCTAAACTGAATTTCCCAGGATTAGAGACCACAAATGTGCATGTGGATTTATCGTTTAGCTCCACCTATTTAGGGAACAGATAATAGGAAGTGGCAGAAAGCTTGAGCTAAACGTTTTGTGCTGGAACTCTGCCAAAGACAAATCTCTCACACAACATACTGGCAAGCACACTAACCAAGGGTGCATAAATAACTTCACATAAATTTTAACCTGTTTGAAGTCCACAGGATGGATCTGGTTTGATGAGAGCTCTGTGATGGATCCCTCGGGGCTCTCATATCGCACATGAGCATTCATACTGTAACACTCTCCCTTCACGTTCATGGTCAGCGGCTGGAGCTTCCTCCGTACTGTCACTACTAGATTAAAAGCCACATCTCCCTCCCGAGTGGGAGTGATCCATATGACCAATGGGATACTGTCAGAGGCAGATGTTAAGAAGTGTGACAAGATCAGTGTTCAAATTCAAGATGATTTTTTTTTTACTCAAAGAGGATATGATTGTTATGTCTTAGACTTTATTATGAGTGAAATAACATACTTATCTTTAGGTGGAACTGTTCCCTCCATAGGCTCTAGCACCAAGCTGTCCTGGTAGCCCTCAGAGTGGCACGAAGACTCTTGGACCATAAAATGGAATGGTTGATCTTCTCTGTTCACCACAAACACAGTCTGATGAGCTTCAAAACCTGCAAACAAAAGCACATGGACACTCCTG